CGTCTTCTGGCTCTTCATAGCCATTTGCAACAATATTCCACAAGCCTTCAACTTTGAGATAAGTTCTCATTCCAATCTTCCAGTATTCAAAGCCATTTCCATCAAAAAATAGAGTGAGAACAACTGAAGATTCCGCACCCTCTTTTTTGTTTGATGCCATGATTTTTCTTTATCTAACCCCAAATTAAGATCAAAAACTGCTTTTGATACCAATTTGTAGGAAATAATAGGAAGATCATACTTTTCTTAGAGAATGCTCAAGGTGTATTAGACTACTTAAGGCTACTTAATATGATTACAACTACCAAATACATCCCCATTTGTACTATTCAAAAGAACAATTCAAGAGACTAGCACAACTAACAAGATACATGCATCACAACTTCCTAAAAGACTTCTTGAAAAATTAAGAGATAATATTGAATAACCAAATAATACTCTTGAAATTATAACAGACTCCTAGAAAACATAAATGTCAAGGTCAAGGACAATCTCCAAGAAATGCATTAATTCCAACAGCAACAAATTAATTTGAAGCATGCCCTTGAACAAATGTAATTGTCCAAATATACCCACACATGGCTTCCGCCGTTAGTGCGAGGGACATATTTAGACCCTTTTAATTGTTCACGGGTATATTTGAACCAGAAAATAATGGTGAGGGTGTTTAGGGTCTAGTCAGTTCGATAATGAACGAGTGACATTACTTCTCCGGTCCGAACCAAGGAATTTACAGAGAGCCGACAAGAAATTTCATTAATAATTGACCGTTCTGATCATGAGCAGAGGGCATTTTTAGACCATATCCAATAAATCATGCAAAGTTTTGGCCCTTTTTTTAAAAGAAATCATCCTTATTTCGTTCATTCACCTCACAGCTATTTATTATAGAAATACCAAAAAAAGTAAAGGATGTTTTAAAAGGTCCATAATTGAAGGAAACTATCTTTGAGAAGATGAATGCCCTTCAAAAGAACAAGACATGAGATGTGGTAGATTTTCATAAAGAAAAGAAGACTATGGTATGTCGATAGGTCTACACTATAATTCAATGTTAGAGAAGTACATAGCACAATTGGTAATAGAAGGGTTTACACAAACCTATGGCATAAACTGCACAAAGGCATTTGCACATCTGACCAAACTCAATATAAGGTATTCCTTAATGGAGATCTTGAAGAAGAAGTATACATGGATTCTCCCCCTCACTTTGATAAAAGGTATGATTCTAAAAAATGTAAACTAAGAAATTTCTTGTATTGTCCCAAACAATCACCTAGAACTTGGTTCTAGAAATCTACTTGGTCGATAAAGAAACAGTGTTCTCAAAGGCCAACAAACTATTCTTTAATGAGGTTCTCACTATCCAACTTGCTTGGGACCGAGGCGTAGTTGTTGTTATTTCAAGGGAAGTTGATGTTTTGATCATCCATGTTCATGATATCATACTCTATTAGAGATTATCATTGAAGAAGCCCATGGCACGTATTGTCTGTTCTGGTAATAGACTTCACAGATTTGTCCCTTAGGCTACGCTATGATTGAGCCTAAAAGTGCGCACACCATGCGAACTTGTGTTATGTCCTATATCATGTGCATCCTTCTTCAAAAGCTTGCAGCCTAGAAGCCTCCTAGTCCTTCTCTGTCATCCACCCTCGTCATCCTGCCATCTGTAATGGACATAACATACACCCCCTTTAGGGACTCGGCGTCTTCACTGAGGTTTGGTCCATAATTGTACTACGGGAGTCCAGCTCTGGTACTATTTTACAGCCCAAGCCCATAGCACTTATCATTTACTTTGTCTCAACAAGCCTCATGGATTTTTCCATTGGGCTACGCTATCATCGAACCTGAAAAGTACACGTATCATGCGAACTTATTCCTTCAATCAAAGAAGAATCCACGCCCAGGGCTAGTGCCAAAGCATAGTCAGAGTCTTCCCCGTGTGCTTAACATCCACTCCTTTAATGGCCACCATTTATTTGAACCCTGTCAATGATCGAACTTAATCCAACAAAAGAAATCAACCTTTTAAAGAAAAGCTAAAGCCAACAGATATATAAAAACTGGTACTATTGCGGCTACACTTGCTTAGATGTTCTTTTGGCTGATTTTTTTCTCTTTTGTTTTGCTTTTGAGTGTAAGGAATACCTTCTTAAGCTACCATCCTAACCGAAATATTCCTAAGACCACAATTTAAATTTCTGACAACCAAGTTGGATATCACAGATATATATGAGACTCTTGAGGGATTGACGAAAGTTAGAAGTTAGTTAAAGGTAAGGATAAGATAGGATTTGCTAGTACGGATATTTAGGATTTGTTAATAAGCACGAGTTAAGATTTGTTGGTAAAAAGAGAAAGATAGGATGATAAGGATAAGTTTGGATTTGTTTTTTGTTTAAATTCAAATTTGAATAGGATATGACAGTTGCTGAGAAGATCTTATCTCTCACTTACCTATTTATTGATGAAAACTCTCATTTGATTGAATAATGATAATATAAAAAAAATCTTCTGTTCTACTCTACTACTTTTTGACAGGTAGGTTTTTCTCCTCTGTGATTGGGCTGCTTACACCTTACAAGGGCTGTTGTACATATATTCTTCTCATTTTCTAATTTGGACAAGGTATACAAATATGTTTGCTGTATGAAACTATATTCTTTTAACATCCTTGCCATGACTCTCTACTTTGCCATGAAAACATTAACATGTACATTTGTGAATACTATAATAGTAAAATAGGAAACAATGGAGGTTCCATTTCTGAACGAACTAAACAATGTTGTATCTTCAGCAAAACTACAAATACTGTCCCAGTAACCATTCTCCACTAAAATCCTTGATCAGAAAAGTTGAGAGAATAGAACCCACATATTCCAAGTAAAACACTTTAAAATGCTTTCATCTAAAAAAGTGGCAAAGCGGAACCACCAGTGTAATCACAAGGAAGAGAACAAAGTGAAGAGTTAATCATATGCAATAAATCAGATAAAACAAAAAGGTATAAGGATTAAAAGATGGAAAATGAGAGAAAATTATACGGAAAAGAAGATGTCAGAACACCTATAGATTATTGGATCACTTTTGAATGGTTATATAAGTCACTTCTGTTTATTGGTGCCACGTTAAGTGATGGCAAAAGGAAATGACACATGAATAAAGAAGAGTAGTGCAATCCTCCAAGAAAGGTTTTGTTATTTTCAGTCATCGCTTCCTGCAATCCTCAAAATTGGTTTCTATTGTTTCAGCCTCAATCCTCACAAACACCGTTATACTTATATATAGTTGTAGCTGAGCCCTCTAAGTTTTACATTTTTCCCTTGGAGGATACCGAACTAAAACAAATCATAGTTTCATCAAGGTCTAGCTTGACATTCAGGGATTCTCCAAGACGTGTTATTTTAGTGGTAATACAAAGCAGCAAACAAATTCATCCTTTACTTTTGAGTAATTTGCTTCTGACTATGTCTTCATTGCTCAAGGATGAGAAAGTAACATAATGCTTGAGACGTGATATCTCTTGTGCAGTGGACAGGGGAGTGGAACCTGTACTTGAGCATTGTGGTCCTATTAGGTCTGATTCATGAAAAACCTTCCTCTAAAATTTAACCTTAAGCTCTAATTTGATCGACCCTTGTCATTTTACCTTTGTGTTTGGTGAAATGACCAACCATAGGTATTTCTCCAAAGACCTCCCGGATATCATTATGGGAGAAGTTGATCGTTGAAATAATAATTGATGCAGCAATAATAGAGACTATCAATTCTTTTTCCAAATTGTAATCCTTAAAAGAAGTCTATGGGATCATATGGATGCTTGTCCCTAGTGCCGGCTCCATGGTGAAGCAAGTAAGACACTTGCTTTAGGCCCTCATATTTGAGGGACCCCATTTTTTAGTAATAATAGATTTATATTCTTTAAAAAAAACATTGAGTACTTTTAGTAGAAAAGTAAATATTTCCACATAAAAGAAAAGATAATTTTGTTGCATTTGTGAATAAACCATCAATATCAGAATGATTATTATGTAATACATGAATAATTGTAAATTGTTTCATTCTCTTTCTCATTTTATCCAAGTCACAGTCTTTCTTTTTCATTCTCTGGTAAGATTACATACTTTCTTTTTTTATTTCTTTCTTACTTTTTTCTCCAAGAGTTTAAAAGTTCAATTTAAACGTTTTAGTGGTAACATTTGAGATCATTAGAGAATTTAAAAAAATATTGTTTTAACCTTGAATGTTCCTTAAAATATACTCCCTATGTTCCAGTTTATATGAACCTATTTCCTTTTTGGTCCGTTCCAAAAAGAATGACCCCTTTCTAAATTTGGTAACAATTTAGCTTAAACTTACAATTCTACCCTTAATGAGAAGCTTTTATAACCACACAAATACTTTGGGCCCCTTTTTGACTTGTATAGGACCATAAATTCCAAAAGTCTTCATTTTTTCTTAAACTCTATGCCCAGTCAAACAGGTTCACATAAATTGGAACGGAGGGAGTAGTAGTCACTCTAACATTGATGATTTAGACTTATTTTTATATTAAAATTATTAACAAAATAGTACAAGTAGAAAATAATACTCTAATCGACGTATTCAATCAAATAAAAAGATTTGATTCTTTTCTGAATGCTTATAGTTCTTATAAAATAATGTTAACAGTTCCTATGACAGTTGTCTTAACGGAAAGAAATATTGAATATCAAAATTGACAAAATTTTACCTAAGATCAATAATTCTCAAGAAAGATTAAATAAGTTGGTTATATTATCATTCGAAAAAGATTATTAGAACAAATCGATAACAAAAAATTATTAATACTTGTGCATCATAAAAAACTAAAATAATGGAGTAGAAAGTTTTTTGGAAATTTTTTTTATTTTTTAAATTTAAGGCCTCCAAATAAATTTTGGCTTTAGGCCACAAAAGTGCTTGAGCCGCCTCTGCTTGTCCCTATTTGATTCTTGTATTAGGAATCACAATAGGTGTACTAGGAATTGTTTGGTTAGAAAGAGAATATGCTGGCCCTTTAGGAATTATTCAAGCTCTAGCAGATGGGACAAAATTACTTTTGAAAGAGAACCTAATTCCATCTATAGGAGATACTTGTTTATTCAGTATCGGACCATCCATAGCAGTAATATATATATTTCTAAGTTATTTAGTAATTCCGTTTGGTGAAGATAATGAGAATAAGAAATTAGATCAAAAAGGAAAAACAAATAATAAACAAGGAAGAATAAAAGGGAAAAAAAAAGGAAGAGAAAAGGGTAATTGTATACTCAAATATTTCCTGCAAGCAAGTGCTTGCATGCATCCATCCGTACTAAGAGGATAAAACTTAGTGCTATACTCAATTACCTATTGTTGTCGATTGCCTTCTTGAACTCTGACATACTTGGAGGAAGAAAATCCATGACATAATCATGCCTCCTTGAATGACGATATTTGCCAGTACCTTTGATGATGGATAGTAGATTAATACCATCTTCCTGCATGATTAAATTAGATGTTAATGAAAGGTTAAAAATTTCCACAAGAAAATCGACCAAAACCTAGAAAGGTCTTATCTCTATATAACCCGCCTTTTATAAGGATCTCTCGAGCAGTTATTTTAACAAGTTTTGTATGCTGATATATTGATTGGAAAAAGATAGTTTCATTGACACGTAGCAAGAACTATAGCCTGCTTTTGCCATCCACCAAAGTAATGCATCCAGATTATCCCTTATATTCAAAAGGATAAAGAGTGGCTTCCAACTTAGCTTATTTGTCACCATGTGAAACAGGTGTGTTTTTCCTTTTAATAATTAAGAACAAATTATTGATCAAAGCAGCACTAAGATAGTGCTATGAGATACAACTTACAAAAAGTTAGTTCCTATCTAGTCTAGTCTGTGAGGTAACTAAGAAATAATAATCAACTGCTCATATAGTTAAGCTTTGCATTTAACACAAAATGCCATTGTTATATTTCATCCTGTGGATTTTTTTTTTTTTATCAAGTAAATTGTATTAGAAAAGGCATCAAGAAGATGCAGAATTACAAAAGGAATTAAATGCCAGTTCCAGACAAATCCTACAAGGAGCTAACAGATCAAAAAAAATGTAAACAGCAAAAAGGCTAGCTCCAAACCACATCTATGGTAGTATCAGGGAGCTAACAAAATCCATAAATTTATAAAACATTCTTTACAGGGGAGTGAAAGTTCAAACTGAATAAACTAACTAGGCATCTAGCTTTCAGAGTGTGGGTTGGAGTTGAGATTCCATCAAAACATCTGTGATTCCTTTCATTCCATAAGCACCACAAAATTACTGCTGGGACCATTCTCCAGATTCTTTTGATGGTTTTGTCAACTCCCAAAAAGCACCGGCTAACAAATGCTTCTCTGATTGAATTAGGCATGATATAATGCAGTCCAAAAATGGCTAAGAAGAAATTCCAAATAGCATTTGCAACTGGGCAGTGCAAAAACAAGTGACTGACAGTCTCAGAGTTTTGGTGATACATGTAGCATCTGTTGACTAGGACCACGCCTTTCTACTGAGATTTTCCTGTTTTCAGCATGCTTCATTAAGAGTTGTCCATGTGAAGCAAGCTACTTTTAGTGGTTGCCTAATTCTCCAGACATGTTTCCAAGGTCAGTCCTCTAGCATGCAATGTTGTGAGCACAAGTGGTTGTAACCATCTTTGACGGTAAACTTCCCTTCCTTAGATCTTCCCCATAGCATTTTATCGGTTTGAGACTCACTAGTACTGCAGCCACCCATAACTTCTAAGAGTGAGAGAAGATCATTGATTTCCCAATCCTGTAAGTTTCTTCTGAATAAAGGAGTCCAGTTGTTGCCCTCCCTATATTGACCCACATTAGCCTTCTGATTGCTGGCTATCTGATATAATCCTGGATAAGAGTCCTTTAGAGTTGTGTTGCCAAGCCATCTGTCCTCCCAAAATCTGACATGTAGACCATTATGTAAAGCCCCGTGAAATTTCGCCATGAATCTGAGGTCTTATTTGCCGACGTAGGCTCATGTACGGACTTTTGGGATTGAGCAATGCATTGAGGAGTTGGTGGAAAATTTTTGCAGAACATGGCGTTTCTACGTTCCATTATGCGACCGTAAAACTGTTCCGCGGACCGCAGAATCGTCGCGGAGTTGAACAGGAGAAGCTCAATTTTGAAGGTCATTTTGCGGTCCATTATGCGACCGCATAACCGTTTCGCGGGCCGCACATCCATCGCAGAATCAGCATGAGAAATTCCGGAGGGAGATTTCGTGGTGCATTATGCGGCCGCATAACTGATCCGCGGACCTGCAGACCTACCGCAGACTTGAACAAACCAGCCCAGTTTTGGAGATCAATTTCGCGGTCCCTTTCATGGACTACAGACCTGTTCTGCGGAGTACTCTGCGTCTGTGATCGCAGAGTCGGGTTCGGAGGGTACATTTTGTGAATTTTATAACCTGACCCCATTTTGATTAAAAGCCATTGGGGTCCTTGTGAAGTCAAAAATCTGGCATTTTAGAGAGAAGTGAGAGCTAGTTAAAGAGAGAAGCAAGCTCCAACACTCCACTCCTTGATCAAGCCTGGGGAATTCAAGGGAAGAACTCACAAGATCTATGTGAGAAAGCACGGGAGAAAATATATTATTGATATTAGATGAACAATACAATACAATACAAGAGGTCCTTATCTTGACTTTCATCTGGAATGAGCTTTTTGCGAGCTACCCCTTACCTTCTTCTCACTGCCCTCCTGGAGTCCCACACCAATTTCCTGTGTTCTATTTCCCCTTTGTTCTTTCATTTTTTGGATTCTGACACTGCATTTGCTTGTTGTTTTAGTTGAATTTTCCTCTTCTCTTCCATTCTTAGGATAATGCCCAAATTTCGTTTTCAAAACCTGCTACATTCACCCCGAAAGCTTTATACGCTTTCAATCATCGCCATCTTCGTCCATCTTGAACTTTCTACCATAGTGGGTGTACCTACTAATTGCATGCGTAAATCTTGTCTATCATACCATGGTAAGAGGGAAAAATTCATTGAGAGAGCAGGAGAAAAATTCGGACTTTGATTCACTAACCCTCTGAACATCCATAATCTGACGAGATTGCATTGAGGGATGAGGACTGTTAGCTTCATCATCGGCATCAACTTGGGATTGGGTCTCTCCAATTGAGTCAGTAGCTCTATAAATTGAAGCATTAATTTCCACCAAGAGAGGGTCAAAACTTATATCTGCTTGCATCGAAAAGTCCCTTAGCAGACATGGGTCTAATTTGTGCCCGATTCTCCTCCATTCAGAAACTAGGTTGGGCTTCTTTCGAATTTTCTGATTTTTCTTCTTCTTTGGGCATTTAGTGTAGTATCTCCAGTAGAAATGACACCAGATAGCCACTCTAAAGGGCTGCTATTTAGGAATTAGCCAGTGTATCCTGAATTTTAGTTTTTCAGGACAAAAATATATTGAATTGTCCTGAAATTAAAAAATTTAGTTTAAAATTTCAGGACAAAATAAGTACTGGCTAGTCTTTAAATAGCAAACCAAAGAATGGCTATCTGTGCACTTGCCCCTAGTATCCATTGTTCAGGCCCAAATATACTAGCCCTTTAAAAGTCTTTCCTTTAGTAATAACATTTGTGGATCGGGTCGACCCATGAGAAATTAAGGGCTACAGAGCTTTTGAAATAAAGTTATGCCTAGGGCTGCTTATCGGGCGGATATTTATGCCTACTGGTTCGGCTTATAGGTTATCGACTTGTAACTGTAATAATCCGCTAACCACCCTATAAGATATCGGGCGAATTGGTATCGGATTAAGCAATTATCAGGCAGTTTATCAGCTAAATCAAATAGACAATAAAAATTACATAAGTAAGCAAGATAGTAAACAATAGATAGATGATCCAATCACAATCACACTCTAGTACGCTAATGAAGCTCTCATTGTTAATAGTAGTTTCTTCTTCTTTAATTCTTTTACAATAAGCAAGTTAAAATACAAATTGGGGATCCATAACCAGTAATAGAAGTTCAGTTAACATAAATTCTGGATATAGTTTTGCTTCAGTTACCGAGTTAAATAATTTCTTTGAGCAGAAAGGTATCAAGAACTATCTAGATTTGCCTACTCCTACCCCAAAAACAAGTTATGATGATGTTAAAGCTCAAGCTGCTAAGAAGTTGCTTTATAATGGGTAAAAATATAAATATAATAATTCTTAACAGGTTAACGGTTTATCCGATAAGGAAATTAAGTAATTCGCCCCCAAACGATAAACCGTTAATTATAAAATTTCAATCCATTCACCAACCGTTAATCCGATAACTGGATACCAATAAGCCATTATGTTATTTTTACGGTTCGGTTAACGGTTACGGTTCGGTTTTGAACAACCCTAATTATGCCCCTCACGTGCTCCGTTTTTGAATGACTAGTGGAAGCGACCTCACAAGTCTGCGGTTGGCTCGATGACACTGTTACCATCTGCTTCCATGTTGTACCAAACCCTGAGGATTGTCCAGTGAGTATTAGAGAGGGCCGAATTTCAGTTAACACCGGGATTTCAAAATTCCATCCATCAACTTCAAGATTCAAACTCGTCGGAAGATCCTTTCGGAGTTTCTGATGCATAGTCGAGCCCAGCAGAAATGGGTTCTGTTCTTCGTATCCTCGTCTACTCTGACGAAGCCACCACATAGATCGCCGAGATATTTGAAGGTATCTGATGTCCAAGCATTCAGAAGGATTCCAAACATTTTAATCCATGAAGTTTCCGACTTGCTCCCTGGTGATGATGCATCCGTGTCTGGCAACCACCAAGTTAGGGATAAGTGTTTCTATTCCAAAACAAATCCCCAGCTATGATTCTTGCCGCTTCCTGTTTGGAAGGAAGCTCGAATAAGAATCGATTATGGTCCATGGGGGTGACTCTGAAACTTGCAGTTACTCTCCATCTTGTAGCAAACCATTTTTGAATCGTTTCCGGATTTGGGCTTCGGTTGAATGGGTCGTTGAAGGTCCCAACTAGGCCTCTGGAAAGTGGGTGTGTGCCTTCTATTGCCTTGATGCATGATTCCTTAGAAACCTCTGGCCATCTCTCTATATTTGCCGCAGCAAAATAGGATTTATTAATGGAACTGGTGGGCCAAAAGAGTTAGGTTTCCCTAGATCTTCTCAGCAACATCTTCCCTCCCTTGTTGTAGCTTATCTCCAGAATGATCACCGTCGATTTCGAGCCTCCTCGCGAAACCTCAATTCTTACGAATTTGCCGTATATATTGTAATTCTGATACACCCTATAAAGATATTGTTGTTGTGTTCTTACCCATCTTCTATAAAGATCTCCAACTCCACTTGATGCTTGTTTTAAAGCATCACAGACCCATCTGAGATTGTGTTCGTCGATATTGATTTTGCTAGAGAAACGTTTTCCTCTCGTTGTGAGAGAGAGCCATCTTATTTGATCACCCCCAAAATTAATAAGCTCAAAAGATTTGTCACCTGAGATAAAGAAAATTTTATCATCCATAATAAGAAATTGCCTAAAAGGAAAGTTCAGAAATGATGGGGCACATTTCCCAAATCAGAGCTAGTTGAATGTCACTTCCTTCTCTAACTGAAACTCGAGAGAGCAGTATCATCTCCTTTCCGTTGTTACATAAAACTTCAGAAGGTATACTCAATTGTGCGACGAAGGAGCTCTTATCTGGAGCTATGTCAACTGATTCTGAGAAATAACTTGTCTCGCCAAAAAAAGGTTCAGGAATACTTTTGATAGCATTGCATTTGGTTTGATCAGAGGAGTTTACCTCCTTCTAAAGAGCAAGATGAGAAGGAAAACAAAAGATTAGGTACATCTGAGTAATGTAACTTCAGCCTGTGGATTTTTGCTTTATGCTTTTGAAACATCTGTCATTCCTTTCATTCCAAACTACCCACCACATGCAAGCTAGAATGGTTCCCCATATCTTCCTCTTACCCTTTGTCTGTCCAACAAAATAGGGTTCCTTGAATGTCCTTGGAGCAACTCATTTCACCACAAAGATGTTGAAGAGCATATGCCATTATTGTGACACCACAAAGAGCAGTGTAGGAAGAGATATTTTGCAATCTCTGTCTCTCTTTCACAAATGTAGCACTTATAACACAGGACAGACCTCTCTGTTGCAGGTTCTGTGGAGTCAGAACCACCTCATACGCATCTGTCTAACACAATCATACCACTTTGTAGGGTGCTTCAGTTCTACAACCAGATTAGTCCACCCAATATCTTGGATGCTTTCAGGGGTTATTATCATGATTTTCCTAGCTCCATGCATGTAAGACAACGATAAGGGTACACCAGAACTATCAGGGTTTTGGAAGACAAAATACGCAGAAATCTGGTCCCTGTTCCTCCCATCTCCTGAACAAGTTGCCTATGTCTAGAAAGCTAGCTGTAAGACTTGGCAGACCACCTAGAGAAGCATTGAATGATTTTATCAGTGTTTTGACTGATGAAATTCCTCTTTCTTTCGACCCAATCACACCAGTAAGCTGCCTCATTTTTTGCATTCGAATGACTTGTTAGTTGTCACTGGCAGCAAAGTAGATTTTTCTTTCCATAACTCCAAAAGTTCAAATCCCAATTTGATCTATCTTTCACGTCTGCATAAACTAGGCTTAACTTACCGAACAAGGACTCCGGAAACATTCAGAAAACTCAACTGAAATGTTAGACAGATGGGATGATTTCTCTCTCTAACTCTATGTTTTTCTAAGAACTTGATTTTTAGCAGGTGACATTAAGAGCATCAACTCAAATTACAAGTCAAGGAGATAAAAGATTCCACTGTCTGCTTTCTAGTATTCTTCCTTCTGTGGAGTAGGATATGCTCATATCACTGTCATATGGGTTTAGAAGTGATACAACCTAAACCTATATAGGTGTATTCCCGATGCACTAACTAAATTCTTTAACATTCTCAACTCTTATCATATTTTAGTTTTAATAACTTAACCGCAAAGTAAGTCTAATAAGTCTAGACATAGTGGTTCTTCCTTCCCAACAAAAGATTGCAAGTGGCAAGTGCCATTATTTGTTTGAAGGAGGAACCATTCTTTATAAAGTTGGGTTAAGTCCCACATTGATGAGGGAAGCGGTTGTGGTTTCTTTATATGGTCTTGCGTAGGGGTGGGCATAAAATTCGAAAAACCGAATTCCGAATCGGACCAAATTAATTCGGTATCGGTTTATTCGGTATTAATTTTTCTGTATTCGGTATTGAGGTTTCGGTATTTCAGTATACCGAAATACCGAATTATTTAAGTACTCCCGTGCTTCCTAGTCCTACACTGCCCAGCCCAAAAGTTTAACTTTGTCTTTCTATAGCCCAAAATTTCAACTTTGTTACTAGTTTAGCTGTGTAGTTGCAGGGAAGCCTTCTTAGTTTAGTCGTTGGCAGATGTAGTTTACTCGCAGTGGTATTACTAGTTTTGTGAGTTCATAAAGTGCAGAGTCTGTTTCGTTGGCAGGGAAGCCTTCTTAGTTAGAAGTGCAAACTTTTGTTATCTTTATTATTTCAAACCAGAATTAGTTTTACTACAGCAAATTCTTTTATCTTGTTTCCAAAAAGCATGGCAAATTGTACTCCTATGTTCCATTTTACAGGCACTCGTTAATGAGGGCAGGAACAAATGAAGTTATCCAGTGAAGCCTTCTTAGTTTAGACGCTGCAAAGTGCAGACTGTTCCCTAAGGACCATAAGTCCATAACATTCCTATTTCAAGTGTTGGTGTTGACTGTTGAAAACGTTGTTAGAAAAAAAAAAAAAAAAAAAAAAANACCAGAATAAGGTTATTAATTGTGTAAAAAAAAAAAAAAAAAAAAAAAAAAAGGTTGAAAACTGTTATGGCCAGCTATGTTTAACGTTTTATACTAATGTGAAAATCATTTCAATTTAGTTTGGTTGGCTACCGAACCAAACAAGAAATACCGAACCGTGTCAAACTACTTTGGTACGCTATTTGGTATGCACAATTGATTTACCGAATAACGAAGTACCGAACCGTAGTTCTTAATGCCGTACCGAAGTACCAAACGCTCACCCCTACTCTTGTGTAATCCTCCCCTCTGAGCTAGCTTTGGGGTTGAGTTAGGCCTAAGATTCATTTCTTTACATGGAATCAACACCTGAGCCATTGATCCCTGATGTTGATTTTGTCAATGTTGGACCTAATTCACGTTGCAGTTGAGCCTTGAGCGTATGGGGGGGAGTGTTAAGTCCCACAGTAGTTGAGGGAATGGGTGGTGGACTTGTGGTCTCTTATATGATCTTGGGCAATCCGCTACTCATGAGCTAGCTTTTTGGGTTGAGTTAGGCCCAATGGTCATATCTTCACAGAAGCCAATAATTTTTGAATTTTTTGCACATGCACTTAAATCAAGAAGCAAGTTTTAACTGAAATATCTAATTCTTGGGCAACAAAAGAGATCAGAAAAAAGTGAGAACATCAAATTTCTGACAAAAAATTCAACTTCAATATGAGTAGAAAGTTTTTAGGCTTCAAACAATTTTCCAATTAAAGTTTATAGAAACATGAAGGTAACGGCAACTACTGTAAACAAGCAGACAGATAACTTTGAAACAATGGAAAGGCATGATTGTATTCCAATAACGGGACAAAGTTCTAACTTACCAGTAAAATAGTATGCCCATTGTCCTTGAAGTGTCGTATTTGGCAGTTTCTTAATGATTTTGCAAGCCTCTGAGCTTCATTTCCACTTGGAAGCATGTTGTCTTTGCCACTAAACAGTACATTGTGTATCATCACATTTTATCAAGAAATCTGATAAAGAAACATAAATTCAACTGCATGCATGCATGCACAGGAGGCAGAATTGACAGAAAAAAAATCTTGAAAAAAGCTTTTTAGTATTATAAGCTGTCTTTCCCAGATAAGATAAAAATAGGCAAGTAAATACTACACCGCATAGCAATTAATCCAAAAAAAAAAAAAAGAAGAGAGTATAACATAGCATCAACAATGAAACACGGAAACCGAGGAACCTAATTCTGTGCTTTTTAGCTATTGTAACACATGAAATAAAGTAAGTTCACTATTGAGTGCCTAAATGAAATATATATTTCACTGATAGTTCTGGATGGAGTAATAAGACCAGATAAAAGTTAAACCTGATCGATGCAACTTCCTAAAGCAATTCATAACTAATAAACTCTATTCAAGTTCTTGACCATCAATTTGAAGTGAATTAAAATAAATAAACTAAAAACTGAGTTGGGCTTCATATATATTTTGTGACATGGCGAATCCTGCAGTACATATTGAACGGTCAGTTGAAGCAAGAAAATTAGAAACAACAATAAAATAAACCATCTTTTCAGCACTTTGTCACGGGACAAAGAAAGCAGAAATTACTAGGATGTCCACTTACTTTTCCTCCAATTTAATATATCTTTTTGACAAAGTAATAATTTTTATTAATGATTGGGCAACATAGCATGTAGCATTCAAGAAGTATACCATAAAGTAGAAAACCTACAAAAAGATATGGTTTTCTTCACAGTTAGTGAAAAAATTCTTTTCTCTCCGTCTTGTACCATTTATTTTACTGATTTTTGCATTTCAATTTCGTAAAAATTTGTGATTGCTCAGAACTACTCGCTAAGGGGGTAAAAGCATTCAGAAAGTAGACCACTTAAGTTAGTTAACACCTAATCAAGAAGAAGAAACATATGCTTAATTTTAGAAAACACTTCTAGGATATACTGCTTCTACACACCACAGGCATGTTTGGGCTTGGTGTACGAATCTTCAGAAGTGATCCAAAGTTTTAACGTACGTATCGCACAAAGAAATCCACACAGACCAATAGAGAATATGAATTAATGTAAGACAGGGAAGAAACCTTGAGAGCACAAGTACTTCAGCAGTAATAGCATGGAGACGGGAATTTGCATAAGCTGAAGCAGATCTAAGAAGCTTCAGTTTCCAGAGAAGAGTCTCCTTTGGTATGATATCAGCCAAACCCTGAAGAAAGGCGAGGTGGAATACAACACTGTGAATATGACTCCATATCTAATTACCAACAGAACAAAAAGACCAGTAGCATTTGACTGTCCAAGCATAAGAAGGCGAAAACTTAAAATATTTTACTGCCCAGCATCAGAAAGACCAGTAGCATTTTTTTTTTGTTATAATAATTGATAACAAATAATTGGCCAGTACCATGTTAAAACACCTGCTAAACATTCAAGACCCTTTTCCACCAACTGCAATTGTTAAACCACAGCCTGTAAACAACTGCAAACTTACTACTTTTTTATTATTACTCTACCCCCCCTTGCCAAAACAAATTTGTTTTCTGGATAGTTTTCAGACATTTGGAATTTTTCAACTTTCTAAAGGATTTTACAAATGCGCATACAAGGTAACACAAAAGCTATAGAGGGCCTACTCTTGTATTTTTCAATGTGCACAACAAGAACTTAGTTGTGAGTTCACTTCTTCTGTCACCTAAATTAGAAAATGCAGCTTTTATGGAATATTTCATTGTAGTCTGGTCTTCTATTTAATTGCTAACTTGTAAAGCCGGCTACTCATAGGTCTAAAAGAAGAAGCCTCTAAAGAGAAAATGCCACTAGTGTCAACTTGAACCTCCGNCGAGCCTCCTTATCTTCAACTCTGTCCCTTTCTCTGCTGTTGTTTCCTCTTGCCTAGGCTCTAGCATCTACAGATGTCTCTGATAGACTTTGAGGCCCCAGTCCTTTATAAAAACCCCAAGTTACTTCTCCTTTCATTTCATCCAATTTGCCTTTAAACAAGAGGTCTCAAAATTGAATTGATGACCCCGTTGTTAGTTTTTCCCAATTTCTTCACGAAGATACAATGGCCATATATTACAGAAAATCTTGATCTATACTAAGAGGAGGAGAGATTATTTGATCTGTCCTCACAAGTTTTCTGGACATTCGAGTACATTAAATCAATATAAAGAATTTCCAACTCCTAAATAGACGTACTGAATGGAAGACAACAAGCAACCACTTCAGCAAATCAACTAAGCCTCACTCCCAAACTACAAACAAAAAATCCTGTGACACATTAAGGGACACATAACAAATGCAACCAGATGACTAAAAACTTTTTCCTGGTAACAGCTGCAAAGTGAGTTTCCTGTGGTGTGCTATTCATTGTCTTGGCACCACATTTGCAGCAAATTAGTAAACATGAGATTATAAGGTAAAATATGGATGATCAGAAAAGTATACATTTTCATCGCCAAACCTATACTGGGATTACAACCAAGATAACATGAAAAGCTCAGTCAAGTTTAGAGAATACTATGCTAATATATTTCTTATAAGAAGAATGAAGAAATAACATGCACTATAAGTGTGTGTTTGGTATGACGGAAAACAATTTCTGGAAAATGTTTTTTACATTTTTCCATATTTGATTGGCTTAAATGTTTTGGAAAATATTTTCCTCATGAATTCACTTTCCTCCAATTGGAGGAAAATGACTTTCCTAGAAGGGAAAACATTTTTCAAAATTCTTTTTTAACCTTCCCCACACTATTCCACACCCAACCCCTACCTATGCCGCTACCCCCACCCCCNTTCTTTATGATCATATTAAAACCATATAGTTATTGCAAAAGTCTATTTGTAGCAAAAGAGAAAGAAGTATGCAATAAGAAGCAAAATAATGCATAAGTACATACAGAAAGGCAGGGAAGCAAAGCAGTGAGGTTGTCAGAGAGTTGTTCAACAACTTGTTTAGGAGGTAGCAGGGAATCAATGTTAACCATAGCCATCTTCATTGGATCACCTGATGAAGCAAAAGCACATTATGTTTCTGACTATATAAAAAACTTGAAGCTACAACTTGCATATGTTGGTAGAGAAAAAGATACAACGAAAGGTTATTCCATATCTATTTCTTTTTGATAACACGATTTAGAAACTGGGAAAAAGTTAACAAAAAGTAGAATCTATAATCAGTTCAGCCTTGAATTTATTTAGTAGTTTCAAGTTATACGAGTTCTGATAAAGTTCCCCAACTACTTGCAGCTGGAGTAATCAAGATTCTTAATCAGTACAATGTTTCTAACAGAAGATATCTTAGGGAGTTGCTACTAATGTCACCTCGGAAAAACTTTCCAACAAACAAAGAGGAAACAACAACCATCAATTAACACTTGAGGACTAAAATACATAGGAACAGCACAAGAAATCTTATCAAGGTCAGAGATAAAGCAACATTCCTATTTATGTGCCGTAATTATACTTGGCAATTGAAGGTAACATAATATTTTATTTTATTTTATTTTGATAATAGGAGATAACATAATAAATGCATGAAGTTTAAACTTGGAAGCTGGAAACAGTAATATTCTCAGCCACAGGAGAATTATACCCATAATAAAGCTCAGAAGATATGGGACTGTAACATGAAGTTCGTCAGGCAAAGACTCCAGCGGAGAGAGCAAAGGTTGAAGTTGTGACCTGCCAAATGAAGTTGCTGAAAGATGATAACAAACAGTTAAACCATACTAGGACATTGTGGATCTCCACATCGGAATTACAATCAGAGAAAAGCTTTGTTCTGATGTCTGACCTGGATTAGCTAATATCAGAACAAGATCAATATTACAGTTTCGAGCAGCAACAGCAATAGCCAAACATCCTCCGAATGAATCTCCAACTATATAAATTGGCTTGTTTGGAGATGAGGCATGCAACATCCTTACAGTTGTCTCAACAAATTTCACCAGCTCTAAAAAAAATTGAAGTTCAAAGAATAAGTGTTCTAATCGATTTCCAGTTGTGACAGATATAAGCACCATAAGCCAGAATCGTGTTCAGGTTAAGTAAACATATAAAAAAGAAATATTGCAAGTCATAGTTGAAGTCCAAATTCACAAACAAAGAGAGCCATCTTATCAAGTCCACCCACCCCAAAGATAAACAGAAAAAACTTGTTCTAACCTTCAAGGTTTTCGTCCTCACCCCCACTCTCCCAGATCAAAAGAAGGAAGACAGACCTTTACATCTTATTTAACTCTTTAAGCCTTTGGCTGGTGGTTAAACAGATGAAAACAACCTTCTGAACCTTCCAACCTGCGCCCAACTCATCCCCGTCAACACCATCCACCCCATACCCCCAGCACGAAAGGAGCCCCCAGAAAAGAAGAAAAAAGATTCAAAAGAAAAAAAAATTAAGGAAATGAAGGTAAAAATCTCTTAGGAATTTGTTTCCTGATCTTAGATCCAAATTGCTTAGTTATTTGGATCCACCCAGCAAAAGTTATATAAATGAATAAGAGAAAAATCCAGAATATGTTCTATTATGGCCTTCTACGCTGAAGCCTTACCTTCCATATACATCCAATTTGTCAGCGTTTAGGAGTCACCCTATTTCCTTCCATTCAACCTCCCCAATGCCAACCTATGGCTCTATTTAAACTTCCAGAAGTGAGGTATTTCCGTTAAGATCCTAAGGTGACTCCTTTTTTCTTTGACTGGACAACAATGTCTCTAAGAGTTTGATGTATGGTGCACATATAAACATCATGAATTCACAGTAGACTGCTTCTCAATTTAACATAGCAAAATTACCAGAAGAACAAAATAGAGGGAGAAAAAAGTATACCTTCAAATGGTGTTCGATCATATACAGGAATATGCAAGCACCAAACTTGAAAGACTCTGCAAGAAACCTTAGATCAATATGTGCACTCTGATAGAAAAGGGGTTGGCAGTTCCATTATGCAAAGGATTCAGCATTACAGAAGCTGCTCAATAGAAGAATTTCGTACTGGAATGCTAGAGATTATTACTGCAGGTTTAGATTAAGCACAATAACTGAAGGAAAAATAAGTTTAAAATGCCATTATGAACCACAACCATTTCACAGAAGAGTGGCATCAAACAATAGTTCTTCAGACTCAACAAACACATCACTTTTTTTAATAGCCTAGAAATGCCCTTTGAGTTAGTTGTCCGAGTCACAGTTGGCCAAGTTTCGAAACATGGGCCCGCCTCTCTATCCTGCTCCTACTTAAATATCAGGCCACATTTCGACTCACGCATCATGCATTGTGTCCATACCACTGAACCAAAGCCCTGGAGCACAATCACAGCACTTGTCTATCAAAATTCAAGGTTATGTAATTTAAATAATTAAATTCACAGCTTGCTGCTTCTAACTCAAAACCGAAAAATGGCATGAAGACATAGCCACAAAATCATGACATGCGAATGAACCTGTAGCTTTAAAAATATGAAGAAGGCAACTGCAGTGCATGACAGAGACTACCAAACTGAAACAAAAGGTCTTACTGTATCTTCTTAGCACAAGAAGAGAACATCTACTGTACAAATTACCATTGAGGATGCAGAAAAATTAAGTGCACTAGACGAGCTGAGCTAAGCTACGCCCCGTTAATTGGCATTGATCTTATTCTTCTCTTAACTATTTCCCCGTGATTTAAGTTGCCAACTAAAGTAATAGTACTCTTATAGTTGTGCTCATTTACTGCCTTCTCATAATCAGTGAAAGCATGATTCTAGAACTAGATACAACTACAATTAAATATTATAGGACAAGGTTAACTTACTTTCCAAGTGCCTTTTCATGCAAAACAAGACCCAATCCAGTACCATCCATTCCTACATGTTGAAATACCCTAGGGTTAGATATTGAAAAAGCATATATAAAGACTCCGCAGAAGTACAATGCACAGATACATCTGCATGGTTCAGCAAATTGAACTAGGAAATTCCAGCTCAAATTTGAGCATTACCTTTCTGACATTAATAATCATCTCTACCTATAAACTAAATAATACTTCCTAGTAACTGTGTTTAGGCATTACAGGTTAAATATTAGAAATTACTACCAGGCAAGAAAAGAAGAAGAGGTGAGTTTCTGAGAGGAGGGCCAGCTGAAATGGGTGTAAACCACCGCGGCGGACCTCCATCAGGCTTAATAATCTCTTCCGCTAACTCAAGGTAATCCCTCACAGTTTGTGTTCCATATCCATCATCCCAAAGTGGTTCCAACTTTTCTTGAACAATTTCCTTCCTCAAATGACCATCTCCCACATCAATCAAAGGTCTATTTTCAACAAAGGACACACCGTTAACTCTAACAGAATCAGAAGACTGTAATGTGGAGTCCCTGCTGCTGCTGGCTAAACACCTCGTGTAAGCTCGAGATGACTTAGTCTTATAATCTGAATTCCAAGCCAAACAAGGGGAAGCCCACAAACTCTGCACAATTGAAGCCATGGTTGGGTCTAACTAACTGCACAAAAAGAAACTGAAAACTCAAGCTCCATTTACTACAGTGTTATTCTTTTAATTGGTGAGCAAAATGTGTTATTTACTCCCTTTCTTTCTTCTATAAATGATGGCTAGTTTTCCCAATAAAAAAGCAAGAAAAATAAATCCACAAAATTTTGAGGTACATCAGCTGTGTGAAACAGAGGTTGACAACAAAAGCGAAAAAGAGTTTGTGGCTTTAAGCTTCTTTAGTGCTGAGATAGAACAAAACAGACAAGAATCCACTTAAATTGAGTGTGAAAGTGATATACACATACAGTCATACGTTACGGGAGCATGTGGGAAGCGGGGTTTACCAAAAAGGCAAAAGAGACGTGGGTTTACTTGAACGACTGAAACAAATCATTGTGGGATATTTGTTTGTTGATAATACACGTAAAACTATTGGTAGACGTATAAGGAAAACCAATTAGCACATGTAGCACCAGTAGCACCTTGGGTGGGGTTTTGTGCCAAACAGAAAAACCAATATGTGGATTAGAATAAAACATGTTTATAAAGGTTAGGTACTAGAAGGCACTAGGAAAAAGAAAAAGAAAAAAGAAGAGAAACAATTAGTAGGAAGTATATGTTATAAAATAAAGACAGTAAAGTAAAGACAAGTATAGAGAGAAACTGATATATTATTCAAACTTCAAACTTATGTACATAATGAATTGAATTCTCCTCTATTTATAGAAGAAAGGAAGTTGTTGTGCAAGCTGCTACTGCAAACTGCTGTGTAAGCTGCTACTGCAAGTTGCTGTTTAAACTGCTTGTAAGCTGCTGCTGCAAGCTGCTTGTAAGCTGCTGCTGCAAGCTGCTTGTAAGCTGCTGTGTAAGCTGCTTGTAAGTTGCTACTCTAAGCTGTTGTGCCAGATATAGATAATCCTCTACCATGGGTAATATTTATCCATAACGGAGTACCGAAAGGATAAGCTTTTTCAGGAGGCTTATTTCCAATGGAGTACTAAATAGATAAACATATTTACGGCGGAGTCTCATATGGATAAGTTTCTTCAGGAAGCTTATTTACAACGGAGTACTAAATGAACATCCATAATATAATATATTTATAACACTCCCCCTTGGATATTCATTAAAAGATAATGTGCCTCATTAAAACCTTACTAGAAAAAAACCTTGTGGAAAAAAATCCTAGTGAAGAAAAAAGAGTACACATATTTAGTAATACGCATTACTAGCTGCCTCATTAAAAACCTTATAAGGAAAACTCTGTGGGGAAAAACCTTAATAAGGAAAAAAGAGTACATCGCGTATTTTACTCCCCCTGATGAAAACCTTGTTTCAAATATTAAGTCTTCGCATTCCAATCTTGTATACCATCTTCTCAAAAGTTGAAGTTGGTAAAGATTTAGTGAATAGATCTTTCGTATTGTCACTTGAACGGATTTGTTGCACATCAATGTCATCATTTTTCTGAAGACCGTGTGTGTAGAATAATTTTGGTGCAATGTGTTTCGTTCTATCTCCTTTTATAAATTCTCCCTTCAATTAGGCTATGCATGCAGCATTGTCTTCGTATAAAATTGTGAGTCTTTTCTCACATTTCAAACTACATTTTTCTCGAATAAAATAAATTATTGATCTCAACCATACGCATTCCCTACTTGCTTCATGAATAGCTATTATTTCAGCATGATTTGAAGAAGTAGCAACAATAGATTGCTTTGTGGAGCGCCATGATATGATAGTACCTCTACATGTAAAAACGTACCCGATTTGAGATCTAACTTTATGGGGATCAGATAAACAACCTGCATCTGCATAACCAACAAGATCTGCATTATCTCTGTCAGCATAAAACAAACTCATATCAAGAGTTCCCTTTAAATATCGCAATATATGCTTAATCCTGTTCCAATGTCTCCATGTAGGAGAAGAACTATATTTTGCTAGTAAATTAACAGAAAATGCTATGTCGGGTCTTGTAACATTAGCAAGATGCATTAGTGCACCAATTGCACTGAGATAGGGTACTTCGGGACCAAGGAGTTCTTCATCCTCTTCTGGAGGTCGGAACAAATCTTTATTCACTTCAAGTGATCGAACAACCATTGGTGTACTCAATGGGTGCGCTTTGTCCATGTAAAAGCGTTTTAAGACTCTTTCTACATAGGTAAATTGATGGATAAAGATCTCGTCTGCTAAATGTTCAATTTGCAGACCAAGACAAAGTTTTGTCTTTCCAAGATCTTTCATCTCAAATTCTTTCTTAAGATATTCAATTGCCTTTTGGAGCTCTTCTGAAGTTCCAACAAGATTTATGTCATCAACATAAACAACAAGTAATACAAATTTTGAAGCCATTTTCTTTATAAAAATACATGAATAAATAACATCATTTATATAACTCTCTTTCAGCAAATATTCACTGAGGCGATTATACCACATGCGCCCAGAATGCTTTAAACCGTACAAAGATCTTTGTAATCTGGTTGAGTACATTTTCCGAGATTTTGAATATGCTTTAGGCATTTTAAATGCTTCAGGAATTTTAAATCCTTCAGGGATTTTCATATAAATCTCATTATCAAGTGACCCGTACAGATAAGTTGTAACCACATCCATTAGATGTATTTCAAGCCTTTCACGTAAGGCTAAACTGATGAGATATCGAAATGTTATGGCATCCATAACTGGTGAATATGTTTCTTCATAATCGAATCTAGGTCGTTGTGAGAATCTTTGTGTTCAACTTTTTTTTGTCATTCCTTTTTCGCACAAAAACCCATTTATGACCAACTGGTTTTATACCAGCAGGTGTTTGGACTACTGGTTCAAAGACCTCTCTTTTAGCAAGTGCGTTCAATTCTGATTGAATTGCCCCTTGCCATTTTGGCCAATCAGATCTTTGTCGACATTCTTTGACAGATCGGGTTTCAAAATTCTCACTATCTTGCATAATGTTAAGTGCAACATTATAAGCAAAAATATTATCCACCACTATTTCAGATCAAATTAAATTAATTCCATCACCAGTAGAACTTATTAAAAGTTCCTTGCTCACTTGAGTCTCGGGTTCAGTGATTTCTTCAGGAATCTCAGAACTAATCAGATCTTGGGTCTCTTCACGAGATCCCTTCATAATATTATTTTGATCATTTGTCGATTTTCTTTTTCTAGGATTTCGATCCTTAGAACCCAAAGGTCTACCATGTTTCAGGCGTGGTTTAGGTTCACGAGCTCTCATGCTAGTGGATGGTCCTGCTGGGACATCAATTTGGTTAGGCACATTCTCTGCAGGGATATGCAACTTAGTTATCCTTTTCAAATAAGTAAATGCGTTTGGCATTTGATTTGCTATATTCTATAAATGGATGATCTTCTGGACCTCCTGATTACATATAGGGGAATGTGGATCAAAGTGAGATAATGATAAAACTTTCCACACAATTTCTCTTTTGATTTTCTTTTTCTCTCCCCCTAATTGTGTGAAATTTGTTTCCTCAAATCGACAATCTGCAAATCGAGCAGTAAATAAATCTCTCGTCAATGGTTCAAGATAGCGAATAATAGAGGGTGATTCAAACCTAATATATATTCCTAACCTTCTTTGGGGGCCCATCTTACTGTGCTGTGGTGGTGCTACTAGCACATATACAACACATCCAAAAATTCGTATATGGGCAATATTTGATTCATGACTAAAAACTAATTGTGACGGAGAATATTTATTATAATGTGTTGGTTTGAGACGGATAAGTGATGCTGCGTGCAAGATAGCATGGTCCCAAACAGTAGTGGTTAATTTTATTTTCATAAGTAGTGGTCTTGCTATCAATTGTAGCCATTTAATAAATGACTCTGCAAGACCATTTTGAGTATGAACATAAGCTACAGGATGTTCAACTTTTATTCCAACTGATAGACAGTAATTATCAAAAGCTTGAGATGAGAATTCTCCAACATTATCAAGGTGAATAGACTTTATAGGATAATCTGAGAATTGTGCCCTTAATCGAATTATTTAGGCTAATAACTTTGCAAACGCCAGGTTGCGAGATGATAGTAGGCACACATGAGACCATCTTGAAGATGCATCTATTAGAACCATAAAATATCTAAACAGCCACTTGGTGGGTGAATAGGTCCACATATATCCCCATGTATACGTTCTAAAAAGGCAGGGGACTCAATGCTAAACTTCATTGGTGATGGTCTAGTGATCGTTTTGTCTTGATAACAAGCATCACAAGAAAATTCATCATTTGTAAGAATCTTCAGGTTCTTTAATGGATACCCACT